GATGCTATCGAGGTATTTCGCCACTACTCGCGTTAATGGAGGACCAAATTATGGCTGCTAAACTGGATTTAACAGCGATGCAGCTGGGCGTGCAAGACGACGGAGACATTTTAAACGGGCAATGCTCGCTTGTTTTCGGCACCCCCGAAGCATGGATACTAATGACGTCAGATTCTGGGAGAGTCGTTGATCTCTACTGATTAATTAGGGAAAAAAACAAATTCCCTCCCCCTTGTAAAACGCCTTCAATGGAAGCCATGTCAGACTGAAGGTTCTGGGAGCTTCAGTCTGACACTCAGGCTAATCCAGAGCGGTTGACCCAAAGACGGACAGTCTTGATCATGAAGGTTCCCTAGGAGGACGTGGTCCCAGTCAACTACCAGCCGATAACCTGCCTCTGTGCAACACAGAGGTGGCTGAGATGAGTAGGCATTTGGCCCAATACATGAGCAAAGCCCAAAAAGGTATGGTCAATAGAGCACTCACCAAGACTGACTACATGAAAGCCTATGACTCAAGGCCACACCCATGGATACTGGCATGCTTGGAAATATAAAACATCAACAGGACGCTAAGAGCCTTCATCAAGAACTCAATGAGGCTGAGGGAAACAACTCTGGAGGCCAACTCAAAGCTAACTGCAGAAGTAACCATCAATTACAGCATATACCAAGGTGATGCACTGTCCCCGCTACTGTTCTGCATAGGCCTGAGCATACATCAGCGTGATGACGTGCAAAGTGCTGTCCCTTAACAAAAAAACAACAAAAATAATAAAATTGAGTATTCAGACATAGATATTTACAAAGATTATGTTATGACCTATTTAAACCCAGGACATTAAATGAAAAAGTGATACGCTAAATATATACAAAATCACCATTTATAGGGTACTTTCTATTGGGAAGTAGCTGTCCCCAACCCTGACCTCTAAAATTCAATTGATGTAAATAACACTTAAAACATTTTTCATATTTTTTTCAAAAGTCTAATTTAAAACATCTTTGTCATTAAGTTTAAACATTAGTTGAAAGATTCATACTATATGTATTGTGTGTGTTTAAAAAATAGTGTCCCTTGTTTTCATGTCACTACCGAAATGCAAGAGTTTTAATGCACTGGTTGAGTCTGGATTTTAGCCACACCCCTGAATTTCTGAGAAGGGGGGTAGTACTGCACCCCTGTCCCAGATGGCTGCATGGTAAGTCGCTGACTCCCATAATTTTTTAAATAAATGTCTTCCAAAGTCTGAAAATCAGTGTGTAACTTTTAAAGTTGTCACTACCGAACACATTTTCTCTTCAATTATGTAAAAATTTGGGGGGGTTTATGCAGAATATTATGTTTTTCTGTGTGAACAACTCTTCAAACATGTGCTTGTTAGCCATGTGACTGCTAGCATTCTTTAGTTATCCTGAAAAATAGCTAGGAATGTCACTTCCGAAACAGTCACTACCGAAACTTATGGTAAAGTTTTGGTAGTGACATGATCATTTTGGTAGTGACAAAATGGAATGGTCAGTAGTCACACCCCATAATTTTGTGGTCCAAAGTCTTGCTCTTCTCTGCTCTGCTTTGCACTACTCTGCTCTACTATACTCTACTCTGCTCTGCTATACTCTACTCTACTCTGCTCTACTCTACCATGCTCTGCCCTACTCTACTCTATTCTGTTCTGCTCTACTCTACTATACTCTGCTCTACTCTATAATCTGCTTGACTCTGCTCTACTCTACTCTGCTCTACTTTGCTCTACTCTACTATACTCTGCTCTACTCTACTATGCTCTGCTATACTCTATACTCTGCTTTACTCTGCTCTACTCTACTCTGGTCTACTCTATAATCTACTCTACTCTTCTCTACGCTGCTCTACTCTATACTCTACTCTATTCTGCTCTACTCTGCTCTGTTCTTCTCTACTCTGCTCTACTCTACTCTGCTCTACTCTATTCTGTTCTACTCTGCTCTACTTTGCTCTACTCTGCTCTACTCTGATATACTTCGTTCTGCTTTACTCTGCTCTACTTTGCTCTACTCTACTATACTCTGCTCTACTATACTCTTTTCTACTCTGCTCTACTACGCTCTGCTCTACTCTACTATACTCTGCTCTACTCTACTACGCTCTGCTCTACTCTGCTCTACTCTACTATGCTCTGCTCTGCTCTACTCTACTATACTCTGCTCTACTTTGCTCTATTCTACTACACTCTGTTCCACTATATTCTTCTCCACTCTACTCTACTCTACTCTGCTCTGCTCTCTCAAAAATTAAATTGTTTTACTGACCACAAAACATTTGTCTTTGAATTTGTAATTCCCACCATAAAGCATACATTTGAGGAAATATGATGCAACCTTAAAAACAGAATAATGGTCACTACCGAAACAGGACAGTCACTACCAAAACAGTGCAGTCACTACCGAAACACTGGGTGTTTTGTAAAAAATAAAGTATATTGAGTTATCAACTAAAGTATTATGATGATAATCGGTTACATTTATGTTCTGTTTCATAAATTATTAACTCTGAAATAAATCCGATAAGTGTTATGCATTTTACAAAGAAAGACTGCATTTAGATTTTGAAGAATTCTATCATTTGAACTTCGAAATTTGTTAAAATATTAATTTTTATAGATTTAATTGTGAAAACCTTCATTCAAAATTTGTTAAAATGTAAATCTTTAGACAAGGGAAGGAACAAGCATAACAGGTTGATATATATTTTTTTGTATAATATAATACTACAGTACAGGCCAAAAGTTTGGACACACCTTCTCATTCAATGCGTTTTCTTTATTTTCATGACTATTTACATTGTAGATTCTCACTGAAGGCATCAGAACTATGAATGAACACATGTGGAGTTATGTACTTAACAAAAAAAGGTGAAATAACTGAAAACATGTTTTATATTCTAGTTTCTTCAAAATAGCCACCCTTTGCTCTGATTACTGCTTTGCACACTCTTGGCATTCTCTCGATGAGCTTCAAGAGGTAGTCACCTGAAATGGTTTTCCAACAGTCTTGAAGAAGTTCCCAGAGGTGCTTAGCACTTGTTGGCCCCTTTGCCTTCACTCTGCAGTCCAGCTCACCCCAAACCATCTGGATTGGGTTCAGGTCCGGTGACTGTGGAGGCCAGGTCATCTGCCGCAGCACTCCATCACTCTCCTTCTTGGTCAAATAGCCCTTACACAGCCTGGAGGTGTGTTTGGGGTCATTGTCCTGTTGAAAAATAAATGATCGTCCAACTAAACGCAAACCGGATAGGATGGCATGTCGCTGCAGGATGCTGTGGTAGCCATGCTGGTTCAGTGTGCCTTCAATTTTGAATAAATCCCCAACAGTGTCACCAGCAAAACACCCCCACACCATCACACCTCCTCCTCCATGCTTCACAGTGGGAACCAGGCATGTGGAATCCATCCGTTCACCTTTTCTGCGTCTCACAAAGACACGGCGGTTGGAACCAAAGATCTCAGATTTGGACTCATCAGACCAAAGCACAGATTTCCACTGGTCTAATGTCCATTCCTTGTGTTTCTTGGCCCAAACAAATCTCTTCTGCTTGTTGCCTCTCCTTAGCAGTGGTTTCCTAGCAGCTATTTGACCATGAAGGCCTGATTGGCGCAGTCTCCTCTTAACAGTTGTTCTAGAGATGGGTCAGCTGCTAGAACTCTGTGTGGCATTCATCTGGTCTCTGATCTGAGCTGCTGTTAACTTGCCATTTCTGAGGCTGGTGACTCGGATGAACTTATCCTCAGAAGCAGAGGTGACTCTTGGTCTTCCTTTCCTGGGTCGGTCCTCATGTGTGCCAGTTTCGTTGTAGCGCTTGATGGTTTTTGCGACTCCACTTGGGGACACATTTAAAGTTTTTGCAATTTTCCGGACTGACTGACCTTCATTTCTTAAAGTAATGATGGCCACTCGTTTTTCTTTAGTTAGCTGATTGGTTCTTGCCATAATATGAATTTTAACAGTTGTCCCATAGGGCTGTCGGCTGTGTATTAACCTGACTTCTGCACAACACAACTGATGGTCCCAACCCCATTGATAAAGCAAGAAATTCCACTAATTGACCCTGATAAGGCACGCCTGTGAAGTGGAAACCATTTCAGGTGACTACCTCTTGAAGCTCATCGAGAGAATGCCAAGAGTGTGCAAAGCAGTAATCAGAGCAAAGGGTGGCTATTTTGAAGAAACTAGAATATAAAACATGTTTTCAGTTATTTCACCTTTTGTTAAGTACATAACTCCACATGTGTTCATTCATAGTTTTGATGCCTTCAGTGAGAATCTACAATGTAAATAGTCATGAAAATAAAGAAAACACATTGAATGAGAAGGTGTGTCCAAACTTTTGGCCTGTTCTGTATATGTTTCGGTAGTGACAAATTTTCGGAGAGGAAAAACATTCCAAATCTGAAAACAATCTGAAAATACAATATAAAAATTTACAGTCATTTTACTAGATATGTGACCTTTACATATGGTACAATATATATAGGGACAAAGTTTTGGAAATAAAACATACAAAATTTCAAAATATTTCCAGCCTAACCCTCTGTATATCATTAAATAAAGGAGACCAAAATCAGGAAGAAGCCACAGTAACATAACTTGTTGTGTTGCTAATATTTTTGTTTTTCTAACATTTATGTATTATATCAGACCAGTTTGATACGGCATAAGTGTGACTGTACGAAATTAAAAAACAGCTTGTGTGCACGTGTGTTCATGTGATGGCACGAGCTCCGCCCAAGTGTTTTGGTTCCGCTGTCATGTAACAGGCTGCTATTTTATTTTATTTTTTGTTGTTGCCAGAATGAGTTCTAATAATCATAATAATACCGACCTGTGCTCCTGCTCTGTCTCATAAATTAGTACAATTTATTAAAAGTGTATTTTATTCGCTACTAGTCCCTGCTTAAATTATCTGTGCCGCAGATAATATTATTTTGAAAGTTCGAAGCGGAAATCGTGTTAGTAGTGGTCCTTCTTGACAACGACTGGGGATGACCCGTCTCCCTCCTTATCGGTAGATAAAGATGGATTCGCCAGAAAACCCGTCCGGTCAGGTAGTCGGTGTGGAGCAGGATGCTACACCGACCCCCATGGATGTGGACACCGCGGTTTTGCTGCTGGGAGCGGGAGTAACGGCCATCACACACCCGCTGCTATATGTGAAGCTGCTAATACAGGTAGCGGATGTAGCTAGATAACTAACCATTCTGACTGTATTAAAACGTCGCGGTTGTATTGTTTATGGAGTCTTTCAAATGTCACCTCACGGTATAATGTACTCATTCAGCCCAGCGACGATAAACAACCGGCTTGCTGGTCGTTATCCAGGTAGAAAGGTCCCACTGCTATGTGTTGTTCTTCCGGGTAACAGGAGAACCTCTTCTCCGTAAAGGGGTCTAGTGCAGTGGGGGTCAAAAGCACGACAATCGCCTTATTTATCAAACATTCATGCAAAATTCGGTGTTTCCTTTGATTAGGCTACATGATTGTTCGCATCCAAATATGTCAAGATTCAAGATTAACTTTACTTTACCACAAATTTGGTAGTTTGTCTTGGGCTCTTCACTCATGCTGCAGCCATTAAATACATACATTAAATACATTATACAACATGCAACATAGCACATAAACACATAACAATGAAAAGAAAAAATGAAAAAATAAGTGCTAAAAATACCTGTTCAAAAACGCAAATCATCATAATCCAGTGTCTGTTCTGGCTTTAGCTGCCATCATGTAAAAGCTTTACAGACTCAGGGATGAATTAATTTTTATATCTTTTCAATCAGTAGCAAGGCACTCTAAATCTTCTACCAGAGGGTAGCAGCTCGTACTCTGTATGCAGGCCATAAGATGAGTCATTGATGGTCTTACTGGCTTGACTTAGAGTAGCCTGTTCATAAATAATCTGCAGGGATGTGTGCTCTTTAACACCAGTGATTTTCCATGCAGTATGGATGAACCAGAACAGTTGGGTTTTTAACTGCACAGAGAGGTTACAGAACCAAGCTGTGATACTGTACCTGATTAGACTCTCTAGAACAGCCTGAAAAATAAAAATATAAAATCTACATTTTTGATCAACACCATGAACTCTCAGATGATGTAAAATATCAGAATCAAAAGAATCAGAATCAGAATCTCTTTATTGTCATTGTACGAGTACAACGAAATTGAGGTAGCAGCTCTCAGATAAATAATAAAGATATACGTTAAAAACGAGGCAGCAAAACAACAGCTATAGAAATATAAAAAGAAACTATAAATTAAAGCTGCAAGCAGCGTTTGGCGGGACCTCGCACTCGCGCCCATTTCGGCCCCCAGCTTATGTCGTCATTGTGAATTATTTAGAAATATCAAACATATTGCCACAAACATCAGAAAATCCTTACAGAGCTGAACGTTTTGATGTTTGAATGCTTTCTGTAGCTGTAGGTATGTAGAAATGATGTCACAATATGCAAATTAGATGAGTTAATTCATTCCCATCAGATTCCTCTTACTTTATTTTGAGGACGAGATGACAAAAACAACACAAAACAAACGAAATGTACTGCGTAAATATGTTCAAAATGGTGTTTACTGAGATTCATGAAATCGAATATGGCTGCCATGTAGTGACACCACAATATGCAAATTAGATTAG